TACAATAATGACATCATTCCCTAATGATGAATGACATGGAGCATCTTTTCACATGCTTACTTGCCATGTATATATCTGATATGGTGCAGCATTTATTCCTTTGTGTTATTTTATTTATGGTAATTCTTTTTTTTTTTTTCCAGACGGAGTCTTGCCCTGTCACCCAGGCTGGAGTGCAATGTCATGATCTCGGCTCACTGCAACCTCTGCCTCCTGGGTTCAAGCGATTCTCCTGCCTCAGTCTCCTGAGTAACTGGGATTATAGGTGTGTGCCACCACGCCCAGCTACTTTTTTGTATCTTTAGTAGAGGGGGTCTTTCACCATGTTGGCCAGGCTGGTCTCGAACTCCTGAACTCGTGATCCACCTGCCTTGGCCTCCCAAAGTGCTGGGATTACAGGCGTGAGCCATTGTGTCCAGCCTATGGTAATTCTTAATAGAATGTATTTGCTTGTGTATTGTCTTTCTATTTGTCACCTACCACCACTACTGGGCTATAAGCGCCACTGGCTGGGGCAGGACTAGGTTGCTCCTGTATCCCCCACACCCAAAAGAGCACCTGGCACTTGATGGACAGACGCGCCATGAATACTGTTGAAAGAGTGAATGAATGAGGCTGAATTCTAGCTCCCGCTCTGCCTCCTTGTGTGGCCCTGAACAAGGTTCCCCAGTCTCCATTTCCCAGCTTGTAAAGTGAATCAGAGGTGTTAGATTCAGAAACCTTGAGGAGCCTCCCAGCTCTGGCTTGTAATGGGTTGGAGGCCACATCCCTTTCTGGCCGCTCCGGGTTTTCCCTTACTCTACATCTTCCAACCTCAGCACCGCTGGGCCATGGTCCCCCAGATATCCTGTCTTGGCAGCAGAGGGAGTGACACTTCTTTTGAATCTGGGAGCCTGGACGCCATAGCCCACCCTGCAGCACCTAATCACTCCTGAGCCCCAGACCTGCCACCTTAGCCAGAGGAGCTGGCACCCTGCCGAGGAGTTGTTATGGATCCAGAGAGCGCAATACTCCTGCCTGACTGTTCCCTAATCCCTCCCACGCCTTCCAGACACAACCAGAGACCCCCAGAACCCAGAACTCCCCTCTGCTCCCGGACCATGAGCTCCAAGGACCTCTCCCAGTGAACCCCAGTGCTGGGCCAATGGGTTGGGCTGATGGCCACAAGGGAAGTAGGATGGTCCCAATATCCGTAACACGTCAAAGGGAAAGGGCTGACCTGGACACTAAACCCCTGGTTCCAGCCCCTGCACTCCCACCTTGATGTGTGATCTGAGGGGGGGGGGTCCCTTCTGTGCTGTGGCCTCAGTTTCCCCATTAGTGCACTGAGGAGGGAGATACAATGTTCCCAGGCCCGGTCAGTGCTGGTACCTGGCAATGCAGTTTCTTCCAGTGTAGACGCCGTTGGGTTTCTCATTCTGCTGGTCATTTTTGTATCAGTTGAGGTGGGCTGGGGTGGGGGATCATGACGGGGGTTACGGGCAGAGGAGGGAGTACAAATGCAGGAGCTCTCAGGGACAGAAGGCTGCCCAGGCAGCAATGAGACTGTGACACCCACTGCCCAGCTGGTCTCTGCAGGGAGGCACAGAGAAGGTCACCTGTGAAGACCTCCACGCATGCAGGAACCACTGGACTAGACATCCATGGCAGCCAAGGAGTCATCTGAGGGACTCATGGGGGAAACCCAGCGAGCTTTGAAGGCTTTGGTGCAGGATGACTGAGTCGGGCTGGATTTAATGGTGTTGGCCTCACCACAACTATAGAGTTGGAAATGTTGAGGCCACAGGGTGCCAGGCCCTGCTCACATGGAAGACAGAGACCACACCCAGGGTCAGGGTCAGGGTGCAGCCTGGGCTGGAGAGCAGAGGGCAGGGAAGCAGCCCCTCAAGGGATGCTCAGAAGCCCATGACCTGGCCCCAGACACAGAGCACTGGCTGAGCTGGGCTGTGCTGGACCAGACCCCTGGGAGAGAGAGAAAGGATGGCTTCACCTCTCACTGCCTTGTGCCAAGGAAACACACAAAGGCGTTGGTCCAGGGAAGAATGGAAAGGAGGCCAGGAATCGGCAAATCAGAACTAACGAGGATCCCAGCAGCCTGTGGGGCGGATCCTGTGGCTTAGGAATGCAGATGCTCTGGAAGAGGGCAGATGAGAGGGAGGCTGCAGAGATACACGAGGTCCTGTAGGGTGTGTGGAGAGGCAGAAGATGGGAAAGACAGGGGAGAGTCTGATATCCTGAAAGAAAGGGAGAAGAAAAGAAGGAAGTGGCCGGGCACAGTGGCTCACACCTGTAATCCCAGCACTTTGGGAGGCCAAGGCAGGCAGATCACTTGAGGTCAGGAATTCGAGACCAGCCTGGCCAACATGGTGAAACCCAATCTCTACTAAAAAAAAAAAAAAATAGCCAGGCGTGGTGGCACATGCCTGTAATCCCAGCACTTTGGGAGGCCGAGGCGGGCAGATCACTTGAGGTCAGGAGTTCGAGACCAGCCTGGCCAACATGGTGAAACCCCATCTCTACTGAAAATACAAAAAAAAAAAAAAAAATTAGCTGGACGTGGTGGCACACGCCTGTAATCCAGCTACTTGGGAGGCTGAGGCAGGCTGGAACCCGGGAGGCGGAGGTTGTAGTGAGCCAAGATCGCTCCATTGCACTCCCGCCTGGGCTACAAAGCAAGACTCCATCTCAAAAAAAAAAAACGACAACAAAGGGGATGATGAGAAAGAAAACGCAGGGCCACCAACACGGGAGGAGTGAGAAGTGGGGCCAGTGTCACAGCAGAATGAGCTGTGAGATGGGAGGGAGAGGACGGAGACAACTGAGGGGCCAGGGAGACAGCCGTCAGCGTGAGAAGCACTGCAGCTGCTCTCACGGACAGACGGCAGGTGAGCAGGGCCCGAAGGGATGGAGCTGACCCTCGCGCCACCCACAGATGCCTCTGTCGTCAGCTGGGAACGCAGAGCCCTGATGAACTGCAGAAATGTTTTAAATGAAAGTCTTCCAAGCATCAAAATATTGAAGCCGTTGTTGTCTCACTGTGGGTTAGTTGCTATGGAGAAATTCAGCCCCGCAGCCACTCTAATCAGATGCCCATGGCAGACAGGCCCCAAATGGGCTGGTTTAGGGCTGGCATCAGGGAAGGGGTTCCCCGCCCAGAGCCAAGAATCGGGGGGGCTCAAGTCAGAACAGCTCCCCACCTCCCAGTCACGCTTCCTAAAAATCACCCAAACTGAGTCTTCTCCATTGTTGGAGGCACAGAGCTGATAGGGAAACTGAGGCCCAGAGAAGATGAAAGACCTGCCAAGGTCACAGAACTAGTTGACGGCACGGCTAAGACCACATCCCAAGTGCCTGCTCTGGGTATAGATGTCTTCCCAGCATGTCGTCTGTTTCTCTTCCAAGACCCCGTTTGCCTTCTCTGCTCAATTCCAGACCGACTCCACCTTCCCGTGCCCGTGCACCTGCCTGGGTGCTCACCCCTCTGAGCCTTCGCTCAGGCTGATCTCTGCCTGAAATGCCCACCCCATCGGATGCCCCTTTTTTCCAATCCCAGTGTCAACAATACCCCTTGCTATGTCGTGGATTGGCCATGATGAGATGCAGGTCACTTCCCCACCTTCCTTGTCTCTCACCTGAACACTGGCAACAGTCTTTCGAACACTCTGACCCTCCCTGCATATATGAGGCTCATTTTTTTTTTGTCTGAGACAGATTCTTGCTCTGTCCCCTAGACTGGAGTACAGTGGCACCATCTCAGCTCACTGCAACCCCTGCCTCCTGGGTTCAAGCGATTCTCCTGCCTCAGCCTCCCCAGTAGCTGGGATTACGGGCACCCACCACCACACCTGGCTAATGTTTTGTATTTTTAGTAGAGATGGGGTTTCACCATGTTGGCCAGGCTGGTTTTGAACTCCTGACTTCAAGTGATCCACCCACTTTAGCCTCTCAAAGTGTTAGGATTACAGGTGTGAGCCCCCGCCCCCCGGCCGAGGCTGATCTTAAGTTGCACCGGCTCACAGGTGCATGCAGCATCTCCTCTCAGACCCCTCCCCACTGCCTGCCACCTCCTAGACACTCGGCCTTCCTCCAGGTCCTGGAATGTTCCTGTCTCTCCTACTTCAGGGCCATCGCACCTGCTGTGCCCTTTGTCTGGAAGGTTCTTTCTTCCTCTCTTCACCTTGTCAAAGTCTTCCTCCTTAGCTCTGCAGAGAGAGTGTTAACAACCTTCTCACCATGTTAAATTAGGTGCCCCTCTGACGTCTCTTTTCTCTTTTTTTTTGAAACAGAGTCTCACTCTGTCACCCAGGCTGGAGTTCAGTGGCACCGTGTTGGCTCACTGCAACCTCCGTCTCCTGGGTTCAAGCAATTGTCCTGCCTCAGTCTCCCAAGTAGCTGGGACTACAGGTGTCCACCACTACCCCCAGCTAATTTTTAAAATATGTTTAGTAAAGTTGGGGTTTCACAGGGCCACCTGTTAAGGGAACACACATGTTGGCCAGGCTGGTCTTGAACTCCTGACCTCAGGTGATCCACCTGCCTTGGCCTCCCAAAGCGCTGTGATTACAGGCGTGAGCCACCGCGCCTGGCCTGACTGTTCTCTCTTACAACAGCTGGCACTTCTACTTAGCGGTGGCACTTCTACTTAGTGGCGATGCTCCCCATTCGTCATTGTATTTTCCTGTCCTGTTCTTGGATGTCTGCCTCTCCTGCGAGGCTATAAGTTTGATGAGAGCAGCAACATGGCAACCGATTGCCACAGGATCCCTGGCACCTAGCAGAGTTCCCGGCACATGGTAGAGGTTCAGCAAATATTTCAAACAGCGAACAGGCGAAGGCTGAGCCCCTGCTCTCGGCACATGCACAGGATGGGTAAGTATGGAGTGTGGAGCTGCAGATACCACGTCTGAGTGGGGAGGGATGCGAACCCCCAAACGGGATCCTCTTCTTGAGGCTTCTAGGAAGGTCACCCAGCCGGTGATGTGAGATTGGGGTTCACTCACCTCTGGCATCAAAGAATTCATCATCTGAGCTCTCCACGGAGTCGCTGAGGACATTTCGAAGGTGCCAGGGGGCACCGCCGCCCGGGGGAGGGCCACCTGTTAAAGGGAACACATCTGTTAACTAAGCCTGAGAAGGTGCCCCAGTACGAGGGAGGTGACCCAGGACCTCCTTCCCCCCCGGACTAAAGGCCAGTTAGCATCCTGCACATCTGTGCCCTCTCCCTCCGAGGCCTCAGACCTCATAGAGACCTCCCTCTCCTGTGCTGTCATTGAAGCTCAAAAGCTTCTCTGAGTAAGCACAGCAGAGCAGGAATGAGTGTGCCCATTTTGCAAGTCCTAACACCGAGGCTGGTGGTAATTAAGAGCCTTTGCCAAGGTGACTCTGCCAAGCAGTGTCTCAGTCAGCACAGGGGAAGCTCTGCTGTATTAACAAATGAGCTCAGACGTTTAAACAGCAGTGGTTCATTTCTCACTCACACACAGGTTGGAAGGGAGCTCTGCTCATCATGGTTACTCAAAAGTGCCACCACTTTGTAATGTCACCAGCCCAAAAGGAGACATCAGGTTCTATCCAAGCAGGGGAGAAGGGCTCAGAAAGTCTCACCAGTCTTAAATGCTTCTGCCCAGAAATCACACCCTCCTGCTCACACATCTGGCTACCAGGCACATACATCCTGTCCCTCAGAGACCTGCATTCTTGTATCAGCAATTCCCCTGCCTCAGTTTTTTCCATCTGCACAATGAAAATCCTGGCAGAGACTGTCCTTTGAAACTCTTCTACTCTGACTGATATTGGAGGAGTCCACCCAGCCAGCAGTAGCTGTCAATAAACAAGCAGGGGTAGACATCCTCCCCAGCCACTGCCAGGTGAACCTGATGGTGCAGTCCTTAGACATACCTGCTACAGTCCCAGTTCACCACACCCCCTACCCTGCAGGATGCTGGCACTGCTCCTTGCCCTGAGTCCAGACTCCAGAGCATAAACTGTTCCTGAAGGGAGAGGGCCAGCCCAGGCCGTCCAGGGACACAGCCCTCCTGCCTGTCATTCCTGCCTGGCCCACCACAAACTTCCAAACACACACCCAGTTTGTGCTTCATGGCTTGGAGCCCAGTGAGAAGCACATTCTGAGACATCAAAAGGACAGAGGTTATAGTGAGCACCAACTCAGTGGTCACCTCTAGGTACAAGGCTGATTCCCTAAGCTTCTGAATCTCTGCCTCCACGAGTGTGAGCCGATGTCCCACCCTCGGGCCCTGGATTTACTGCAAGAGTCCAGATGTACCACAACTGTGTGTTCCTAACATGGATACGGGACTATTTTCCAAATGCATGTGGAGGACATTCTAGCTATTGCAATAAGACAAGAAAAAAGATATGAAAGGGATATAGATTGGAAAGGAAGAAATAAAATTGTCTTTATTCGCAGATGACATGATTGTTGTCTATGCAGAAAACAAAAAGCCTACAAAATCTATGTTAATAAAAACCACCAGAACCAACAACTGAGTATAGCAGGATTGTAGGATACAAGATCGACATGCAAAAGTCAATTGCATTCCTAGATACAAGAAATGAACTGAAATTTGAAAACGACAATGCCATTTAAAATAGCACACACAAAATACTTAGATATAAAGCAAATGTATGTAAAAATTTCCGTGATTCAAGAACTACAATCACTTAAAATTACTCCTGAATTATATTAACGGTATATTTTCTCAATCAACAGATACTAAAGGTATAAAATCTATCATATCTACTATATTTGCATACTATGTGAACATGCTATATTAATATACAAACCTCCCTTGCTATCCAAATCTTTTCCGTTCCTAAGAAGAAAGAATTTGGATAGTCAGGAAAGTCCTATTATCCTCACCTGTTCAGCTCCTGAGTTTTAGATAGTAAGAAGCAAGAGTTTAAGTAGTAACGGAGTCAACTGAGGATTTATCTGGATCCATTTGGTTCCTGAGTTTGAACAGCAAGAGCCCAGGGAGAGGCTCCTCTATGCCGTGGCCTTAAACATGCACAATTTGGATCCATCTGAGAACAAAGACAGGCATTCTCTCTGATGACGTGTGCAGGGGTCCAGGGGGAGGTCTGGGGCAGAGGGAAAAGCTACAGGGAGACCAGTTAGCTCCATTTGAAGGAGCAAGTTCTCCCAGCTACAGGTGAGCAGAAAAGGAAGGGGCTGGTGGGCATCAAAGGGGGCCTCTCGTTCCACAGACACTGTGTTGGGTACGGGAACACTGTGGGGAATGAAAGGACAGGATTGGACGCTCACAAAGTTTACATTCTGCAGGCGGGGAAGGAAAAGCCAGCCTGGGTCAAATAAACAAACCAGATAATTTCAACCTAAAACCTCTCCCTTCCTACACTACGTCCTCCTTCCTCAAGTGTCTCTTATGTGGTAATTACAGCCTAAAGAATAGACAGGCTTGAGCGTGGGGATCTCTACATCCGCGCAGGGAAAACGGTGGGGAAACTGAGCCTCGGACATCAAAAGAACTTTGTCACCTATTGTAGTTATAAATGCTGAACTAACGCGATGTCTCCCGCTTATTACTGTGACTCTCTTTTGTGGTTAAAATATACATTTAGATTTCTTTTCAAATGCATATTCTATCTTGTTTACTATTATTCTACTTGCTTTCAAAATGCATACCCGCCTTGGCGTTTTGTTTTATTTTGTTTTTGAAACAGAGTTTTGCGATTGTCGGCCAGGCTGGAATGCAATGGTGCGATCTCGGCTCACTGCACCCTCCACCTCCCGGGTTCAAGAGATTCTCCTGCCTCAGCCTCCCGAGTAGCTGGGATTACAGGTGCCTGCCACCACGCCCGGCTAATTTTTGCATTTTTAGTAGAGACAGGGTTT